TTTTTTTTATCTGCGTGTGAGCTAAAATTAGGGATTTGTTTATGAATATTTACGGCATTGTAATTCATTTGTGGCTGTGGTGTATTTCACTAAAGGGAATATGGTGGATAATTTTGCTAAGGTCCTGTTACGTAACCATTCCGTCGAATTTTGTAACCGTTACTCCGTTAGATACATCATGTAACCGTCAGAGATAGTAGTTAATCTAATGGTTACAAACTCCGACGGAATGGTTCCGAAACGGGACCGTAACATCTTCCTACATTTGTGTCCCTGTACATTCATTTTTCGTTTTGATCTTGTTTGATTCTTGTCATTTTCTTTCTCCAAGGTGCAAATTATACAGCATATCTTCATGATTAGTCCCGGTCTTTTTCGTATCTTGTGGATTTTCTGCTTATTAACCTATGAGATCGAATCGAACATTCAGGGGAATGTATGGATTTGAGGTTACATGTAGCATTTATTTAGATGTTGGTTAATAGTGTTTGGTGATGTAGCTTTTGTAGAATAGCAAAAGGGTAAATGATGGTTTAGCTGGATGCTGGTTATTGCTGATTATTATATATTCAATGTACTAAGAACGATATTCTTAAATCAGCAACCATGTGAAGGCCTCTTTGGCCCCAAAAAAAGTCATGTTCACATGGAATCATTGTCAAATGGCACGTGTCCAGCAATAAATACCCGGAAATCGGATTTTTGAAGTGAAAGGATTCTCTATAAGTTCCTAGCTTATGATGTAATGATTCTGCTTTCCGTGCTTGCACCGAGCCTGTTTAAAATTCCTTTTACTCTGTTTGTTCTTTTTTCTTTTTGCTCTTTGTAAAGATATTCATTCTGAACATTTTGTTGATCTATAAAATTGCAGTGGAACATGATAATCTGATGAGACGTGTGCAACGAAAACTCGAAGCCTGAAAAGAATATAGATTCACAAACTTGGCTTTTAATTTACAGAAAGGATTCGTTTTTGCCCCAGAACAGAAAGAAGAAAAAATGGATGACAATGGAGGAAGCAAGGTGACGGGCATCAGGCAGATCGTCAGGTTTAAGGAGTTCCTCCAGAAATGGCAGCACGTCACCCTTGGCCCGAAGCCCGACGAAAGCCCAAAAACGAGCGAGGTCTGTGGAGGCATCTCGCCCGAGATCAGCTGGAGGCTGAGGGGCTCCACTGTCCACTGTGACTCGGACGAGGACAGCTGTCAGAGCCTGGAGCTTCCGAACGATGTCCCAAAAGGGTACCTGGCCGTGTATGTGGGTCCCGAGCTCCGGAGGTTCATCATACCCACTAGCTATCTCAGTGACCCGCTGTTCAAGGTTCTGCTGGAAAAAGTCGAGGAGGAATTTGGTTTCGATCACAGTGGCGGGCTCACGATCCCTTGCGATACCGAGACCTTTAAGTATCTCTTGCAGTGCATGGAGAATCACAGGAAAGAGCAAGCCGGTCACGTCAATGCAGGTATAAATTCATCTATTTTTGTCGGTTCTCTTGGTTTCGTTGTTTCGATTGACGTGTGGGCTTTTCTTGGGTTGATGAGTATACACTTTGTAACCTGAATACCAGCGATTTAGCTTGAATGCAGTAGCCTGATCTTTGTTCTGCAATGAACCTGATTTATGATGATTGTTTAAGACCGAATTATATAGTGGAGCCTGTTTTCTCATTCAAAAATGCTGGCTTTTTTATCTTCTTTTTTTGGAGCTTGACTTGGATATTTTGGCTTTTTTTCGCACAGCTGACAACTAGTCGACTGGGGAGGAGTGAAGAGGTCTCAGTATTGGTTTTTTAGGCTGAGCCAATTTTCTTGTAAAAAAAGGTCTGTCTTTCTCCAATGGTTTGATTCTCCTTTTCCATTTTTCTTTTCTTGAAGACGTATTTAGGTTTGTTAATATCGTCCGTGATCATGCTATGAGCGAGAGATCATAGGCTTATTGCCCCTTTTCGTTCACCCGCTTTCAAGAATACAAGGACAGAAAAAAAAAATGTATTGACCTTGGATCTTCGTGTTTCGAGTCGACAATTTTCTCATCCGTTTGAAGATGTCTGATTAATTCTTCGAATTCTGCTGATTTTGCATTATCGGTGGCAATCTTTTGTTGTTCGTTGGTGCTTTTGTTGTCTTCCTGTACAGTATCAGGACTATAAACAATTGTACAGTGACCTCTTAATCGTGCTTCATTGGCTTTATTCTTCTCATTTTTGTTGCTTTCACATCCAATTGGTGCATGTTGATGGAAAATGTTGAAGACTTACAGGGCCTACTGCGTAAAATCAAAGCCTTTTGCACCTGTACCACAATATAGCATCTCAACATTCTACGAAAATAATCATTCCAAAAACACATCTTGTTATTTCAGAGTCTCTATCAAAGTACAATAAGCATAACAACAGATAACTAAAAATTATAATTAATTTGAATCCTTTTCAAGTTCATTTAATTCATCTTCATCTAAACTGACCTGAAAAAAAAAATAAATAAATAAATTAATGTGCACAACAGCTCATGTAGTCATGTGGGCTTGAGGGAGCAAAGAGAATCAGGGGTCACCTCCACAGCTAGTGGTCCTTTGGTTTTTTTTTTTTTAAGTACAATGAAAGGAGGCCGTAGCCTAGAGATTCGTTAGATAGTAGTGTTCCGTGGATGAACGACACCTACGACATCGTGTTGTAGCCACGGCTTAACTTTCGGTGGAGGATCGAGTAGTCTCTGCCCTCTGGCAACCATTAGGAAATGAATGAGCTAAGGTCGCAAGACAGTCCGTAGCAAAGTTTGCTTCACGATAACAGTGCACAACAGTCACTACCCATTCCCGCCTCAACATCTCTTGTATGGCCCGAATTACTGCACCATGCACTCTCCAACTCTCATGTGGCGAGCCCAACATCATGCTAACGACACTTTTATTAACCACATCCGCTACCATGTTCTGGCACCCCAAATCCCAAGCTAGCTGGAGACTTTCGAGTAGTCCCCAAAGCTCTGCCCCTGTTATCGTAGTAAACCCAATATTCATCACGAAACCCCCGAGCCAGTGACCTTTAGCGTCCCGCACGAGGCCCCCTGCTGACGCCATGCCCGTGGATTTAATCAAAGAACCATCCGTATTT